CTCTATTTATAAGATTATTTTCACACTCGCCACTTTACCAGTGAGTTGTCTTCATTAACCAAAGTGTGTGCAGGTTTACACTTTTTGTTTCGATACAGAAAAGGAAAGGTTTGAGTAATCGTAACTTTGTTTTTTCCAAAACAAATTATCTGCTGAGTCATGTCTCAGATTTAAATAAGAATATTTTCCGTTCTTCTTCTCGTCTCTTTCTCTTCATTTCTCATCCTACTGCATTTGTTGCTATACCTAAGAGCCTATCAAATTATTATCTGGCAAATATAAACAAGATCATAACACATTTACGTCATCACTTGTTATTTACAGACGTAGATTTAACTTTCATTGACTTTCAACCAGTAGCGATTAATCGCAATGCAACCGACATAACCTTCTCAAACTATTTTGTTGTATATTCTAGAGTCTGATACACGATTTACAATTTCAGGTGGAAAATATTAACCCTCCATAAAAAGCCAGTGTATCTTGTAATATATTTATCTAACTGAATAACCCTTTGCAGAAAATATATTAGCTACTTTAACATTTTGATCTTACCTGTAAACTGGCATGCTCTTTCAACATGTTATTTGAGAATAAACTAATATTATTATTATCACACTGGTGCCAGAAACTAAAGTTAGAAACTCTTTGGATCAGGCGCATTAGATTGAACCATTTTATCTTGTGTATTTTAAATGGTGCTGATCACTCTTTTGCGTCCACTTCTCTTTACCCTATCATATCATCACACAACCTACGCAACGAGGCGAATACTCTCCCACTTCCAAGAAATTAGGCAAGCCGATGCCAGAATTTCTTCATCATTCACCATTCAAATATTTGGGACAGAATTCCAGCAAGCTTCGGTTGCCCTAAAGCCATAACCCAGTTCAAGAGTTTCATTGATGGTGTAGAATCTTTTTTGGATGTTTTGCTTTTTGGAAAATCCCTCCATGTATATATATTTGTGTTATGATATGACTGACTCTTTCTGTTGACATTTTGGTACTCTATTTGATTCCATTTTGAGATTTTATCATTGTATATTGTTATTATTTCTATATCTTGTACTTATGTTGAAGTTTTTATGTTTGCTTCTGAACTGTACATATGTTGTTTAAATTTGATATTTAATATGGCTACAGCCATATTTGGATTTGATACCGTAGCACTTATTCTTCCAGAAACGGATACCCACCAGGGTAAATTGGATTTGGGAGGTGTAATATTGTTTGGTAATTGTCTGTATTTCCATTTCATAATGAATAAAGACCGTTTTCTCCCAGAATTATTGTGTTTTAGTTTTGGATCTGGGACGTCGAGTACCAACCTGCACCTATTGGAACCGGAGTGAACTGCTGGGATAGAAAATCCATCTATAGATGGCTTTTTCTCCGGAAGCCTTCTGTGTGCCATTCTACCATCAGTGAGATTAGCAACGATTTCTACAAACAAGAACCAGTATATGTTTAGTTGAATGTTAAATGAAGGAGCGACAGTTATTCTTAGTGTTAATTAACACCATTGTAATATTTCTGTCGATATTCAAAGCTCCGCCTAAGTTTATGTTTATTACTCTGTTGACGAACTATTGCCTGAAAAACATACAATATTTCGTTGTTAATGATTTGTAACTTCTAACTAAAACCATCAAATCTTGTCTTACACTTACCGCGATACATTAACTTCCCATAATGATTCTGTATCCTCACCATTTATATATGATAAACAAGGGGGATCTAATGTAGATTTGAAGTCACAGACTAGCAAGCAAGGAGATCATTTCAGCAATTGATGAACACCTGTAAATGAAAATAACTGCCAACCGACTCCAAATTCAAAAACCTCATTGCACTCGTCAGACCAGTTACATTGTATGGGGCTGAAACTTAGAGAACTGCCAGCAGATGATCCTTCGCTGCTTTAATAATGGCTTTTATTGCATCATCGTACAGCATTCTGGTTTAAACTCTTATTTCTACAGCAAGCCAGTCTACATTATTGATATATCCTATGTGTTATCAATATATCAACAGTTACTTTTATTTTCTTCTATGAACATATACACTATTAACGGCAAAACACAAAAAATCATTGCGTTCTAATTTCTTTGTAATACGATACAGTCTACTGTGGAACAGGTTACCAATCGCTATTCGTATCTGTGACACAATCACTAAGTTCAAGAAACTAGTCATGTTGTTGCTAGATTCTAAAGAGATTTATCGACTATTCCCAGAACTCACACAAAGTCCCCAGGCACTCTTTTATGGTCCACCAAATATTTAGATAAACCTCAGAAACTAATTATAGACTATGACCATATTGTGTTCTCATTACCACCCATACATGTATCATGAAATGGTAGACAAATCCCCCTGCTCCTACTAACAGCAATAGGTTACGCCTTTGAGGTGTTAACCGTGACTTTTCTCTGCTTTTAAATTCCAATCATTATTTTCATATCTTCATAGCAGTTTTAGTTTTTATTTCTAGTAGACAGACAAATTGAAAAGCCTGTAGATGCTGATCAACTACTGTCAATTACAAGGAACTCAAACACCATGTATAATTGTGAGTATCTTCTTATTTACGTATTAACAGTTTAACTTATTTTTATTTCCCCAATTCATTAACATCCAAACACCTTGCCTGCTTACCAACTTATCGCTTTACTCATTAATTTTTAACATTATTTCAACTCTTTTTTTCACTTTCTCCTCGTTCCAGCTCCCTGTCCTTCCTATTCCCAAACTACCCATTAACTGACTCATCTTACAAATTATACCATTCGTTTACTTAAAATCAGTGTGATATGCTATGTGGATATATAATCTGGCAAAGTTGTCTGGATTGCTTGTAATGTTGGAGCTAGTAGAGAATGTTAATTCCGATAAGGTGTACAAAAAAAAAATTGAGAGTAGACTAGAGACCATTATTTACAATTAACCATTCAACGTAAGAGAGCCTAGCATCACAAAAGGAGGGAGGGTGGTGTATCTGACCAGCATTCATGACGGTGGGGCGATAACCTCAATCTACCCATGTCTGTGTGGCAGAACATTTTGTTTGCTTACGGCTCCTTACGACATGGCAGGATGTAACAAATCAGTGATATTGATGTTACTTTTCCTAGTTAACCTCGTCTACAACCCATGTCTGTAACCTTGCGCTGGTTTTTACTTCCTACCGAGAAATCCTATTACAAGCTGGTCTGGACAACTATACCAAAAAAGAGCTCATTCATAACTTCTTGAGCCTCAGATTTAAAAATAAAAAGAATAAATAAAACCAAAAAATTATATCACTGATCCTCTTTATTATATTTTGTAACTCAACTTTATTACTAACAACTTGGTACTTCTGAATTTCCTCTATTCTTTCGACTAACTTCCCAATAGTTATCTCACCAATAATTTGTCTTCATTAACCTACATAAGTGCAGGTGTACAGTAATGACATTAAAAAGTCTGAGTAAACATACCTTTGTTTTATCTATAAACGTATTTTCTGTTCCGCTCCTCGTCCCGTCTTCTTTATTCCTCTTTTTTCAGAACCTTATTCCACTCCTCATATATTAGTCTGGATATTTGCAGTAGACTTGGTTACCCTACCCAAGAACATGTGAAATCACTAGCTGACGAATATCAACCAGACTTTTGTACATTTACCGCATCAATTCTTGTTATATGAAAACCTGTCTGTACCATGAATCATTTCTCAGTCCATAAGATGATTGTCGTAACGCAACCTTCGTAACTTGCGCCAATTATTCGCATTGAACATTCCATCTTTAAGAACACAATGAATCTTGTGAAATGTTTCAGTAAATGTATACCGTTTTAAAAGAAATATGTTGTTAATCTTAACATTTTGATCTTGCCTGTAAATTGGCATGTCTCTTGTAACATGTTTGTTATTTGAGAATAAATTATTATTATTATTATTATTATTAGGTGATTTTAATATATAAGCCCTAAAGTCAGCTTAATATTCTTTTAAATATTACAGAGTCGGCTTGAATGCTGCTAATTTAAACAATAATGAAATTGTTGTTTACAATTACATTCTGAAGTAACCCATAATGATTTCTTCACAGAGCTTGTAAATTAATGAGCTGTCTTTGAGTCACGACTTACCCCTATTATCTGATTTTGTTCGGATACCTATACATTATAATAATCTTTATTCTCAAACAACAGCGCGTTACATGGGGCAAAATCGAATCGTTACAAATGCTACTACATTTACTGTAATAGGTTACTCACTCAAACTAATTGTCATATAATATTTCTGACATGCCAATTTACAGACGTGATCATTATCATACAGCGATATTTTCAGCAAAGGAATATATTTAATGTGGGTACCCAGGAGGGTATTTTAGTGGTATGCAAAATTCAGAAGTGACTCACGAGCGTTACCTCGTCATAGGCTAATATGCATTATTCTTTCAATGTACAACCCGTGGTATACCATCCCAACTGTCCGATATGCATGTGCGTTGTGCTTATAGAAATATTGCTTTACTACAAGGTTTGGAACATTCAGCTCGGAGGGTAAGCGAAAAATGTGACTTAACATTCACGTTAAGAGAGACCAATATCGAAAAGGAGAGAGGGCTATGATTTCAATCCACCCATGTTGAATCTTAATACAACAGAAAATTAATTCTGATAAAGATACCCTGAGCAAAAAGACAATAAGTAAGCATATAGGTTTTAAATTTGTACACAGATCAATCGAGTAAAAACCAATAAAAGTCAAAATTGTTTTGTTTTTTTTCAAAGAAAAAATATAAATAATTTTTTTCGTTCCCAATCTAATAAAAATAAACAGAGAAATTTGTAATTGATAAGAAATATGTTATTGAGTGTTGGCATTATATTTCAGTAGGCGCCGATATCGATTGTCTAGAACAACAATGAAAGCATCCACTTGAACTGCAACACCGATGCATCATTTCACACAATTATATATATATATATATATATATATATATATATATTACGAAAGAAATGGAGTAAGAAACAGAAAAAAATTGCCTAATTGATAACAACGAACTGATGAATGCACCAATGTAACCAATATGGAAATAAACATTAGATTTATCAGAAATCTTGGTTACAAAAGAAAAGAAAATATATCTAGATTTAAAAAAAGTTATAATACCAAGTGTATTATTTAATAAACAACCGATTAAACCATACTTATCATTTCTGATCTTTACAAGTTGTACACCAAAGATTTCTGTTTGTATTCATTAAAGATTGTAATGTACTTCGTAGAGAATGTAATTCAGTAAGAGTTGTAGGTAATAGTTTAATATCTTCGATTAATTTTCTCATTAACTGAAGGCGTGATACACAATTGGATGAAGATAAAGATGATGGGACTGAATTATTATCGAATAGTGAATGATTCGAAGAAAAATTATCATAAGGAAAAGCTAATAGAAAACTAGTTGTCAATAAATAAAATCTTAGTCCAGGATCAGATAAGACTGTAAAAGGACAATCATCCATGGGTTTAGTCCATGAATTTAACGTTGAAATAGACAAACGAAAAGTACCACCATCAGAAGTTAACCATGTCAAATAGTCTTTGTTCATTTTTAACATGAAATCAGTTACAATATGACCTAATGATGATCCAACAAGATCACGTAATATATCATGCGTAGAAAAGTTTAAAAACTGACTACTAGTGTTTAATTGATTATCTGATAAGGTTGTAAAAGGATGAATCACAAAATAGAAACTAGTTGGCCTTAATCGATCGATTTCATCAAATAGGAATGTTAAAGCTTCATACCAAAATTGTGTTGGAAGCTGGTCGGTGCACGTTTCTATATCACACCTTAACCAATTCACCCATCGATCTATGAGTGATTTTAATTTGTAACCAGTAGAATTTGGATCACGCAAAGCAGATGGTGATGAATAAGCATCTAAACCGTAACAACGAGCAATTTTGACAAAATCATCTAGTGTAATTCCTTTAGTCAGTACATCCTGCGGTAAACAACACGTTAGCATACTTTCATGATACCAACGCCATGGTCCTTTCCATACACGCCCAGGATCTAATCCTAAAGCATTTAGAACCATGACTAAACTGGCTAGTCCACAGTAAGAAGGTTCTTCCTATTAATAGTAAGATGTTGTTAGGGCAGAATATTTTGTTTGTCTCAGGTTGTTTATGCTTGAAGGTGAGGCAGCTGTTCATTGATATTGAGGTTTGTTTTCCCATGTTTACTCCCTCATATTCTCAGGATCTTTATAAAAATGTTGGTTTTGCCAATTCACCTAGGTCATCCTAGTTTAAGTTCTTTGAGCGCAAACCTAATGGTTAAAATCCTATAACGAAAGTTAAAGAAGGTTGTAGTTGAATTCTCGATCGTGACAGCTCAATTCGATTCCAATAGACGTAGGTTGGACGCACTTCCCAATTTCGAAATTAAAACACAATAATTCTAGGGGAAAATGGTCTATTTACAAATTACAAATGGAAATACAAATAATACCTAACTAATATTACGTCTTCCAATTCAGAATTACTCCAAACGAGTATCAATGTTCCGAGGTTTAGGTGAACTCCTATGCTGCACGATGATGAATCCAAAAATGTGGCGGTAGCCATATTATATCAAATTTAAACAACATATGTACAGTTCAGAAGCAAACACAAAAACTTCCATATAAGTACAAAATATAGAAAGAATAACAATATACAATGATAAAATCTCAAATTGGAATCAAATAAAATACCAAAAATGTCAACAGAAAAGGTCCGTCATGTCATAACAAAAATATGTAAACATGGAGGGATTTTCCAAAACACGAAGCATTCAAAAAGGATTCTACACCGGCCCGCAAAATCCCTCCATGCAAAAAGAGCAAGCGTTAATGACACTTTATTTTAGGGTTCCCAGTTATCCCCTAATCCACACCGGAAGAACGTGTAGGACTTACAGCAGTACGCCTACCCGCCATCCAACATGGATATGACCTATCGTGCTAACTAGGTACCTATACTTTCCCATCAGGCCCTTGATTCCCCTATCTATCGTGGCATGACATAACGGTAGTATAAACCTTACCCAATTAACCCACACGAACATGAACAACACGTCGTAAGAGGATGTCTGCGAAATTATAGCTAGGATTCAGAGTGACCTTGACAACGTACCTATCTGGAGCGAAACATGGCAGCTACCATTTAAGAACAACGAATGTGGCATCACGCACATTAGTAAGCACCATCATGAAACATCCCTCTACTTACAAAAAAGTACGGTTCAGACGCACATTTAAGCGCATGAACTGGGTGTTCGTTACTCCAGAGGCCTAACATTTGAAGAACATGCCTCTTCTATTGTCTCTAGATCAAGATGGCTTATGGGGTTTATAAATAAGAACTCTTGACAAATGTGGCACAGTATACACTCTTCAAGGGCCCTTCCTTGAATGATGTCCGCTTATCTTTTCAAACATGATTATCATAGACAAAATACGAGTCGAAAGTGTCCAGAGAAGACTCACACATTGACGGCTGGGTCAGAACCATACTCTCGACTTTCCTAGAACTTCGTTAGTGCCAACGGTTTAAAATTAACCCAATACTTCTTTATAAAATAATGTATGGTCTCTTGTTTGTAAAATCCCGCCCAATTATGAACCCTGACGAATTAACGCATTTCTACTACAAACGGCAAAATACACAAAGTCGTTGCGTTGTAATTTCTTCGTATTACGATGGTTTATTGCGAAACAGATCACCAGCTTTTAGTTGTATCTATGACGCAATCGCGAGGTTCAAGAAACTAGAAAAGCTGTTATTAGACTCTAGAGAGGTTCATCGACTGTTCCTGGAACTCAAACCGAATCCTGAGACACTCTTTTATGCTCCACTAGATTAACTTTAGAAACTAATAACATACCATGAATATACTGCACCTCTTTTATCAATCATTCAGGTATCACGAAGTTATGGACACATATTCCTACTTCTATTAACAGTAGTAAACCACGCCATTGAGGTGCTATCTGTAACATTTGGAGCTCTCTTAAGATTCAAATTCACACTATTAGCTTCTCGTCTATTACAGCACTTAAAGTTTTGATTTCTAGCAGATATGTCATCTGAAAAGCATGCAAATGCTGCTCATCTATTTTCTGTCACAAGGAACTCAAAATCATCTTATCATTGTGAGTTCTTTCTTGTTCATGGATCAGCAGTAATCTGAAAGTCCACATGCAACGATATGGATACAAGGAAAGACCCCAGAGATCGGAGTTATTCTCTCTGATATACAGAAGATTCGGAGTGATCTGATAATGGCGTACAACATATCAAGCACGCCGAACCATCCAAGTGTACCTTACCAAAGCGTTACAACTACTCCCTTCCAGGTAACCCTCGAAAAACTGCGCATCAAAGATTGAATGTTACGTCCAGTTTTTTGCTCGTTGATCTTACGAAGCACTGTTGTCGTCTATTTGTAATTCACGGTCCCAAATTTCTATACCAAGAACGAAACTCCAAAGTAGATACCAAAGTTTATTCCAAATCACAAATTCGACCAAAATACTTTATTACAAATAGACGACAACAGTGCTTCGTAAGATCAACGAGCAAAAAACTGGACGTAACAAAAGTTCTTCTAATTTATTATCTCTTGGAGCAAAAAACTGCAACGAACAACAAAGAGAAACGGGAGTCCAATATGTCCGCAAATAATAATTCAAACAAGTTCATAAGTTAAGTAAAACAAATATACCCAAAAACAGTGAAATTAATGATATTTATACATGAAGGTTTTAATCAGCAAAATGTCTTCGTTTCTCCCGTAACAGTGAACACTCAGGTTCTTTCACACTTTTTTCATTAGAAGCAGTTAGGACTTGGAATGGACTCACAGTCGAGGTGCCCACAACAGTCTCAAAGGACAGCTTTAAGAAGAGACTTGATAAATACGTACTCGAACACTGTTTATTAACTTCGTCATGGACCAGCTGTGTCTGATACATGTCTTGAGATTTTCTGTTTGTTATTGCGGCCATTTTCTCTGATCTATAACTTAATCGATCACGCCTATTTTCTCTGTTTACTCTCCCTCGCTAGCACTTCCATCTTCTCACACAATCTTTACTAACAATTAATAAAATAAATTATTCACTTATTCACTTAATCATGAAGTATTACTATTATTCGCATTATAATTTTATTCCTATAATTCTCCACACTGCAACGAAGTGATCTCCGGACTGGTAAAGTGATAGTTTCTGGTATCCAGAAACCCTACTTTCCTGAAACAATCGTATTCATTTAAATGACAGGAAATACAAACTCACAAACTACTGCCAACTGACTAGCTGGACTCTTATCCATTGGACATCATCAAATACCTGGAACCGTACAGGAACAAGAAACTAGAGCAAAGAAACCAATTGTTTTACGCTAGCTCATGAAAAAGATTTTGAACATTTAAAGCAACAGCAGAGGGTGGTTTGAGTTCTGTTTGATGACGGAGTTTTGGATAATATCTGTTCCTGGGGAACGAGACCCGAACCAGGTGTATCAGCGTTTCCAGACTACATTGTCTAAATATAAAGATATCTACTCTCAGGTCAATAAGTTCAGTATCCCCCCGGATTTCAAAGTATTCGTTCGGATTTCTGAAAAATTGTGTGTTTTAGGTGGGTACGCTAGATATTCTGGTGGGTCTTTCTGATGAGCTTTCAAAGTTAGATGTGTATGCCGAAAGGTAACTATCTAGTAGTCTGAAATAGTAGCTACAGCATCACTAAGAAGGTCGCTCAATATATGGGTGATGTTCTTGAAGAACAGAAAAGCAAGTTGGAGGACAACTTAACGGTAAATGGACGTATGTTCGAATTCTTATTTTTATATTCTTAGTATCTCCTGCCGCATTTCTTTCTAGATTTCAGTGGGATTATGCTAAATATCCAGTCAAACAGACCTTGAGTTCTCTCTATGCAATTATCTCAGAGGTATTTTTAATTTTACTTCAAGTACCCCTCTGTTTCAGCAACTGTCTAAAATTGACTCTGATTTGAAAGTAAAATCTCAGGCATATAATACCTTGAAAGGTTGCCTTCAAAATCTAGAACGAAAGCAGACGTAAGTGGTATATTTGACTGTACCTTATAGGTGATTTAGGGGTAGTCTTTTAACACGCGAGCTTGGAGATATTGTGAAGCGAGAACACTTTATTGTTGATTCGGAATACTTAGCTACACTGGTTGTTGTTGTTCCAAAGTAGGTTGTCTTTGTGAAATAATTCCTAGGAATATGTATAATGATTGGAAGTCCAATTATGAAAGAATGACGGACATGGTTGTCCCTAAGTCTTCTGAGTAACTTTCATACTTTTGGTTTAACCGATTAAGACTTATTTTTGAAGATCAAGATAATGGACTGTGGACTGTAACACTTTTCAAGAAGATGATGGATGATTTTAAAACTCAGGCTCGTGAATTTAGGTTTGTTTAAGTGTTCGAAAATCATTTATTAGATTTGTTGTACGTGATTTTATTTATGATGAAAAGAAAATTGAGGAAAGTAGAAATGAACTTTCGAAACTTGAATCAGATAAGAAACGACAGTTTGTAAGTCGGCTAATTGTATTTGTTATACTACTTTACAAAAGTTTTCACCGTTTTATTATTTGCTTCCAGAAGTTAGAAAATGACTCCGTTCTAAAAGTCAGTTAGTCAGCTACAACGTAGGACTTCATAAGTTCTTACATCAGTTCAAGTCTCCATACTACATAAGTACAGAGATGCAATTGTCACTTCAACTCCCATAGTGGTAGAGCTACTAAGAGTATTAGCAGTAATCGAGATAAGGGTTCGAAAAAGTTTTTAAGAAGTATTTTCCAGTGAAATAAATACAAAAAGAGATAAGGAAAGCTTCTAAGCTCATAAGAGAGAAGACAGAATGTATGCGGCTGCGGTATTGCAAACGATTTCGAGCCTTGTCATTCAAGTTCTTTAACCATCGGTTACTATTGTCTCGCGGACCCCGACCAGGTTATCTACACTTACTAACATGGCCCAACGACTTCATGGATTTGTGTCATGTTTTGGTCTGGCCACCCGTAGCTTTCTTCCAGTCTACCCCTACACCTCAAAACATTGGTCGTCAAGGCAGTCGGTGGTTAGAAAACGTAATATATGTCCCAACCACCTCAAATGATGGAGTTTCACTACTTCACATATTGATCTTCCATCCATACCTAGTACTCGTTTTTTAACAGCAGCATTGACTTATCCACAGACTTAGGATATACGAGTAATTCTTCGAAGAGACCTATGATCGAAAACCAGTAATCTACGGATATCCTCTGTTCTTATAGGCTATGAGCGTCATAAGTTGGCGAAAGCCAGTTGAGCCTGCTGTATTCGTGCTGAGATTCGGTCAGACGCCAGGCTATCAGCACTGACGAGACTCCGAAGATGAGTGAGGCGGTTAGCACACTCATCTACGTCACTTCCTATCATTAGTTTAGGTGCCTATCGTAAAGCGACATTTCGCATTTGAATGGGAGAATGACATCCCGAACATGCTTGGATTGTTGCTTAAGATGGTCAAAAGACTGCATTTTGTCAGCGTCTTTCCCTGAAAATTCGCCATCAACTCTGACTCTATCAGTAATGTTCGAGTTGAGAGCCTGTTCAAGGTTAGAGTACTTCGGTAACCCTTTCAATGATAGACACTGCCATAAAACTTCTCTATCAACAAAGTCGAATGCCTCCGTAAAGTCAAGGAATATAACCCTTATCGGACGTTTGAGTTGTGTTTATGTTCTAGTACCCAACGAATTGTGAATATGTAGTCCATAAATCCACATCCAGGTCTGAAATTAGCCTGGTTTTCTTTAGTCTACTCTTCACGAGCTCTGACTAAGCGTCGAAGTATTATCGAGGCTAAAATTTTAGACACAATTAGTCAGACTGATTCCTCTGTGATCATCATAAGAGGACTTTTGTCCTTTCTTATAGATTGGGACAATTAGTGATTAAGATCAGTCAGATGGGATAACGCTAAGTTCCCAGATCCTACCTAAGTTCTCAGTCAATCTAGCTGCTAAAACTGTACCACCATCCCTAGAAATTTCAGGGGTCAACCCATCAGGGCCTGCTGCTCTCCCCTACTGCAGATTTCCTAAGCTTAAGCTGACTCTACTCTTCATCATGTTCATAGCCAGACCGGATGAGTTTCCGGGCATTTATCAGTTTGGTAGATGCTGGCAAGATCTGCTGTTGTCCCTTACCTTATGGTTTACTTTACTAACAGTTACCACTGCTGTTTCAACAGCTTTTATATCATTATAAGCTTCCTCGAAATGGGCATCATTTACTACATGGCGTTTGCAGCGACAACAAAGAGGCAAGGCGAGTGTCCCTATTTTTAGTAGTTCATACTGTTACGTTTAGTCGGACAGCACATAAACGACTATCTTCTGGGATTCCGTCTAAGAGAGCTAATTCTGCCGTACGAGTCAATGCTAGACCTACGCCGACGAGGCCACAGGAAGCAGCAGCAGGTCTTGCAAATACTCGGAACGTAAACCATATTAGTTTTTTATCTGGACAGGGTAAAGTCAAATTAATGATTTTACTTGGATCCTGTGTGCTCGTTTGGGAGAAGCAACATACATTGATCTCGCGAGATTTGAAAGTCCTAGCTAAGGGAGCCTGTTGTCCTATTTGGCTCAATGTTAAAAGCTCTAACATGTAGTTTTGAGCAGGATTTCAGGAGACCAAGAAAAACATTTTGTGTATTCGAATCGTTTGCATCAGCGTTGCGAGGTGATAGAGGAACGTGTTGCAGATAGTTGCAATACAACTGAATGTAGCATAGAAAAAAAAAAAAAAAAAAAAAAAAAAAAAAAAAAACATCATACCACACCAACGGTAAATGGCCTGTGATAACGCTTATTAAAAACTATTAATATGGATAATAAAAGCCACTTGTTAGATTGTTCCCTCCGTTTCTTGAGATTGGATTAATACATTGCTGCATATAGCTAAAGTCCACTTTCATTGTATAAGTTATTATACTTTGTTCTTAATTGTCTTAATTTCAGTGCATGATTTGTTTTTGTTTCGAACTAGGCACCACTATTTCGTTGGTTGAAAGTTAATTTTGGTGAAGCTTTTTCTGCTATGGTTCATATTAAAGCTCTTCGGGTATTTGTTGAATCAGTTTTAAGGTAAGAATTCATATTTTCGTCAACTTGCCAATCACTTTTAATTTGCAGACCATTTTTCTGAAATCCTATAATGGTTTAAGTTGTATATGGAACCATGTTAGTTTTTTGGTCTGATTTAGAAGTGTAAGTGATGTAAAGTATTCCCACGGTGACTTTTTGGGGAGGAAGGAAGAAAATTGATACAAGCTCTAAACCGTTATATTGGCTGTAAGCAGTATTAAGTTATACAGGTTATACTCAAAATGATTGTGATTAGGTATATTTAGTCTGATAAAGGCTCCCCATTCTTGTCAATGTGATATTTTTCCGTCGATGTTCTTGAGGCAGGTGTAGTATGTTCGTAATGCCATATAAGGGTTTTCTACATCCAGATATCCCACAAAGACACATTAACCATTTAGCGAAAACATTTACCACTATTTTGTTTCCCAAAGTTAAATAACTGCAATCCTAATTACTAACAATGACTGACAATCCAGAGTAGGGATATCTATTTCTAAGGTCGTAATATAGTCGTACAACTACTCAATATATCTGAAGTTTATCTAACCAAATTATTTTTTAAGTAAGATATTTCTATCGCTTTGAATTAAGATGTATAAGTAGGTAGGAATCTTGCTGTATTGAGTCTATTCCGTTGTATCCAAACACTGTTTATGTAGTAAGTTTTCGTCTCATTGTAGATATGGATTACCGGTTGATTTTCAAGCAATACTCATTGAACCAAACAAAAAGCAGCAGAAGAAATTGAGAGATATCTTAAAGCAACTTTACAACCATCTGGATGGATCGTCTTCAAGCTCCGTCTTGGACGTAAGTATTTGCATCTAGTCATGTATTTAGTCACTATTCCAGGGACGTAGAGACCCTCACTTATATAGCTGATTTTAAATATTATGGGAGCAGAATTTGTGTATGACGATCTTTACGGATGCAATATTTCGGTTAGCGATATAAAAGACCGTCCCTGCTATCTGTCATTGATAACGAATTTCTTTTAAACAGGATAAAGGTTGCCAACCAAACAAGTGTTTATTGCACATATGAAGCTGAATTCTCATATTAAGTTTCCAGTTGTAAACTGACCTTTCCTCAATAAGATAAGTAATAGGTTTCAGAATAGGACTAGTAAGTTATTTTAATCTAAATAGCCACACATAGGAGGGCTCTTGAAAACGTGATCGATCGACTTAGTTTTGGATTTATACACTGGTAAGCAAATATTCCAGGAATGCACAATATATTTTAGATAGTGGAATGCATTTTAAGACAAATCCTAATGATGTTCACTGAATCTAAACTGATCAGTATCTTCAGCAGAAAATCTGTTATGACTTCGAAACAGGATCTGTTTTAAGGACTCTAACCTATGTTACTTTTTTCCAAATAATTATCTGTTTGTTGAGAGTAATGAACAAATTTACTGTCACTTTTATAACATAGGTAATTTTTCGTTTTGCCTGGATTTTATTTTTCCTTTACCGTTGTTTCATTACAGGAAGATATGAATGTTGGGAGTTTCGGGGCTTCAACGGACTATTTTCCTTATGTTTCATTCAAGGTTGAACTAAATATGATAGATGTACATTAGTGGTTGTCAATAAACTAGTCCTACAACTAGCTCATTCCATTGTACTGATGTGATAATGCAATCAATTAACTGAAAAAAAGCATAATATATACTTTTAAAATGATTCTTTCTTAGCATTTCTATCTATTTGATTTATTCTTTTTTTTTCTCTCTATTCTAATTAAATCAATGTTCTGTTCTGACAAACACACAATCATCCGAAATATATATATATTTATATTTTCTTATTAATCTGTCTTGAAATACTGAAAAATATAAAAGTTATTTAACTTCGAAATTATCTGAATTATTGTTCTTCCTATTCACAAGTGGGAACAAGTGTATATATTTTGTCAAGGAATACGAAAACAGCAAGAAGAAATAATTGCACTGCATATGGTTTTATCATATATACTGGTATATAGTACAAAATTATACACTGTGTGTAGAACAATTCAACACAATGATAAAGTTTAGTGTTTTAAATCTTTTCCGTTTGAATATGATCGATAGTTATACGTTTTCCTTGTCTTACAATAGTGATTGTCAATTGTTCTCGGCTTTCAGTAGCAGTGTAAACTTGTTGAGCATTCGTTATAGGTAGACCGTCAATAGCAACAATCACATCTCCGGCTCTTAATCCTGCTCTGTAAAACAAATGCATTAAAAATCTATGCTGAATTTCAATTATTCCAAATATAATTTACAACAAAGTTAGTTGATCAGTAAAAGTAAATTGTTGTCAGAAAACCATATCACACTGCAAGGATTTTGTTTATCTTTCCCTTGCTTTCACTATGCTTCACATTCTAGATTTATAATACCAATCAAAGTTTTTTAAGATAAATGGAAGTTCGTGATTATTAATTTTTTTTTTCGTTGAGAAACTAATGTCTTCTTAAACAAAGGATAAGTTACTTGAATTTACCTTCTCAGTTTGCATCCACGAATTTGCTTTCTCCTCCGATAGATGAGTGAACATCTCCCAGCGTGGTTTGAAAAGGGCCGAATAAAGACAATAAGTAGCTCTACCTGGGCACACCCTGATTGACAGTAATCATATTGGAGACAAAACTGAATCATTTCTTAGTAGGGTTCGATCTCGTCTCTTACATTTGAGAGCAGCAGTTATAGGAATCTGAATCTCTAAATTCGGTTTATGTGTTCAGAAGGAATTCGTGACATACCTGTTCCTTCCTTGACTGGATACGACTTAATAGGTGATTTTAATAATTTTTTCACATCATGAATTTGTTCGTCAGTTTTCGCCTTCCCCGCATTCATATCCTCCACTATCTATCTAACTATTTACACATCTCGTCATGTAATTCTAATAACTTTTCATGATTACTGTTTTAAATTATGTCTATGCAAGTTTGGCCTACCACTTTAAATGTTGAACAATTGACCAGAACTTTTGTTAGTTTACTATTCTTATTACTACTAACTAGTGTAGTGTGCGCTACTTATACAAGCATATATACGAGAATAGGTGGTAGAATTCTTAATGGCTGAAGAGAGAAGTGAAAGGAGAAACAAGAACACAGGGTAGTCAGAGTAACAATAAAAACGAATAAACGGTGAAGATTAAGAAGGTTAATTCAAGGAAGATGAGCAAATGGTACAGTTAGTGTATGTTGTTTTCATATTTTACAAATGCAGTGTGTATTATTTCGTCACCATTCAATTCTTTGTTGCTTACCCACATCTCCGTTTTTTATGCACTAGTGCACCTCTCGTCGTACAAACAACTTGTAGTTTTATCTATTATCAATGGTGTTATACAATCTCCATTTTATCATGATTGTTAACTCATACACTGTCTTGATTAGTTTGATATTTCCATGTAAATATTTATGCATATATTAGAGTGTAAAGCTTGATGACAATGAGAACTTTTAATATTTTAAAACAAATCTATTGTGAGTTTACAACTGAGCATGGATAACTGACTAAAATTGTATTTGTCAAATTAGAATAGAAAAAAAAAACTGTTTAAGATCATTGTATTTTATTGAAGGATAGACAAAACTCATATTGAAATATGAAGTTTCTTTTTTATGGAAGGAGTTGATCAGTGGCGAAACTTCGTAGAGGACTAACTATCAACAGAGACTTACAGAAAGCATGGCTTCTTGGTATTAATGTTTGAAAAATTATTTCAAAGATCAAATGTCAGAATAATCAGAAATTTATAGCCAAACAGCAGTGTTAACTATTATGTGATTCTCACTCAGTAACGACAGTTCTAAGCTATTAACTTGTGACTAAATATGATAATAATAGTCGGTGCATACCCATTCTTAGGTAAGATGATCTCCTTTTTAATTCAAGCTATTAAGTGATTTTCTACAATTTATGCAAAGTAATACGAACTTACCTTTGTGCAGGAGAGTTTCTTAAAACAGCTTGAATCAAAACACCATTTAATTCCATAAAATGGTGTCCACCACGAAATGATAATTCAAAAGCCAGCTCCGGAGTAAGTGTTCGCATAACTAAACCTAAGTATCGACGATGAGTTTCGCTCTCGGGACAAGTTGAATTATCTGTTAAAATATATGGATCAGTAGGTGAACTTGACGATATAGGGGAAGAGCTTCGAGTACTTGAAGATGCTTCCAGTGCTAATTTTATGAACCTTTGAACTTGATCAACGGGTATAGCAAATCCCACTCCTGTACCAGCCACCATAGCGTTAACCCCAATAACTTCACCGTATAAATTCACCAATGGACCACCGGAATTACCAAACTTAATTAAAAATCAAAAAAGAAATAATTAGTAACTCAATTTCAATTACCATGTAAAGACCAAAGTTTTATGAACAAATAGGAAAAAAAACTCAACAGCCTATGTTAAATTTCGGATATGAACAACCGTTAATTGACTCAAACCAGCTGTTCTTGTTAAAGATTCTGATCTACGATTCTCATCATTGTATTAAAGCGGATTAACGTGTTCTACATAGAGTCATTCAAAGATTACTCCCAGACACAAGATCAGATAAAGAAGGGTTGTGTTATGATGTGAGGGTCCAGAAATCTTAACGCGATACGAGCTAACCCCTCAAATCTGGTTACTTGAGTAAAAAGATAAGACGAATTGAAAGTCTATTTGGTTACCGAATAATATGTACAAATAATGGTATATGTAAGTAATAAATGTATGTACTTCGAATATCAACCCATTTCCTGATCTAAGATAGGCATTCGTCCTCCAGGACATTGCTAACGGTCATCAAATAGCTTTTTCATTTGGCCACTTCTGATTGGCTCATTATATTAGGCTGAGCGTTCTATTGCGTACAAAAGAATTTTGTTGAGAATCACTAACTATAGGAAATCATTTAAACTCTTCCCTGAGAGTTGGAAGGTCTTCTTCATCAGAAGAGCTCTGACACCTCATGGCAAAAGCCGAGTTTCTCCGGAAGTCACGAGGCTGAAGCCGCTTCTGACAGCCCGAAAAGCTCTTATAGGATCGAAATCTCATGGACCCACGATCATCAAAGGATCCTTCAAGATGAAGAAAGAGGGGATAACGATGAATGTCATTCAGTGCTATGCGCCGACCAACGATAACAAAGAAGACGATAAAGATGGATTCTATGGGAGGCTGCAGTCAATCGTGGAGAAATTCCCAGCAAAGGGTTTGGCTAATCTGACGGAAGACTAGATTGGAACCTTCAAGGCCAAATGAAAAGAGGTAGACCAAGGAAATTACCGCCCAGAATCGAAGAAAGATATAAAGAAAATGAAAAGCAATTGAGTAGAACTGGAAAGGAATGCCTATGACAGTAGCTAAAACGGGACTGAAACATGAGAGACGAACGCCTTTATTGTAAACAATCGAATTTAGACGATATAACAGATAATGAATGTTCGCTTTTGTAATCTTGTTTCGGCTAATTAATAATATGTAAATTACTAGCATATAGTTATGTACCTGCTTTATAAATCTAACATAAACTGTTGACTATTCTTCGAATTCATGTTATCTAACCATTTATTCCAAAATTTGAACGAAATCCTTGCATTCTCATTTTTAACTCGAATGCCCTAGTCTGATATGACTGTAATTTTCAGTCGTTTTGTTCTAGCTCTGTTATCCATGTATTAATTCATGTATCTTTTTCAGTTAGCTATCTAGTTTCTTGCTATGATCGTCTTCTCTCTTTGTTTACCAACCAATCAGATTATTAATTAGTGATAGGATAGTTCTTTTCCTGTCTGCCTTGACACCGTTCAGTCACAAACTCGAACTCATGCGTTGCAGTCTCAAGATTGTACTGAGTAACCACCTAGCATTTCAAGGATGTAAACTTGTTTGAGACAACTCTCTATGAATGTTAATTACAGATTAGTGGGGAGATAACAAAGTTATAAAAGCCTTCATCTAATGGGTTTCATTCCCTGTTTTAATTGCTGTGCTTAGTTGGTTATGTCTGTTGGAATATCTGTTGTATGGCCGAAAAACCCACCAGGCAAACGTAATGTTGGTCCATAAGCCGAACCAGTAGCAAGCTACCGCATCCGCTCCAAATAACCGTATTCAACAACGGTTCTCACATCAGTGGAGAGAATTATAATATTTAGTGAATTCGATACACAAGTTGATTGGAAGAAACACCTCTAAGGAGATATATTTATTTTCTGTGTCAAAAGTTTTTGGAAACGTAAAGTTATGTACGGTTTTCGCATAGCTGGAATGTGACTAGTAGTAGAAGTCAGGATGTGTGTTTTCCTAGTAACAACTCCTCAGCTGGATGTGACTGCATTCCAGAGTTGAGGTTCACTCCACGACTAAAACCCAGTAACCATTCGCTTCGAAAGTTAACGCGTTATCCATTTACTTACTGAATCCCGATATACACTTGTGGAAAGGGTATGCATTTCAATCTGATTTGTCATGGTTTGAGTTATCCCTGACGAGTCCCAAATGGAACGAAAAATGTGTCCTGAATTCCATTGCTAGCCAGATTCCATCTAAACCATGTAATCTTGCGTCAGTATGATTGACTACATTAAAGGAATTCACACAAGATACACATTCACCAGCCAAGACTGTTCACATTTAAGTTCAAATATCAACAACGGAATTATACAGACCATTACAAATTAAATTAAAGTTTTTAAATCTAAAGTTTATAATTCTCATTATAACCATTCTTATTCTGAGTAAAGTAAGGATTTTTATCAGACTGTGTTGATTGAGTAAACAAACACTCAAATATGAAGCTTACTAATCAAAATTAAGTGGAATTAATAAAGTTGTATAATGATTTGTAGTCGGATTCAGGAAACGGCTTTCTTTCTATTCAGAACTTGTTAGCTGGATGTTGACGTTTACAATGAGATTTAATTGTAGTACCATCCGTTACAAGCGCTAACGCTCATGAACACCAATATTCTGGGTTATATATGTTCAGAAGACGTGTTCCAAGTAGGATGAAACGCATATGATCGATTCCATAGGTTATCTGTTATTCTAAAATACGCTTATCGAAGCAGACGGACAGATACAACGCAGAACTTCGTACATAAGTACATCAGTTCAGGTTGCCATACCACGTCAGCACAGCGACGCAACTGTCACTTCAAATCCAAGAGTGATAGCGAAAGTAGAAGTATTAGCATTAATGGAGAAGATTAGGGAGCGAAGACATGATACGAGAACTATAATTCAGTGAGATAAATTTAGAAGGAGAAAGATGGAGATTATGAGAAATTCAGAAAGTTAGAGCTAGAGAGAACACAAAGAGTGGATGCAGCTGCGCCATTGCAAACGACATGGCTCAGAATCGTTTGCAATGGCGCAGCTGCATCCACTCTTTGTGTTCTCTATAATTCTAACCTTGTGAATTCCTCATCATCTCCATCTTTCTCCTTCTAAATTTATCTCACTGAATTATAGTTCTCGTATCATGTCTTCGCTCCCTAATCTTCTCCATTAATGCTAATACTTCTACTTTCGCTATCACTCTTCAATTTGAACTGACAGTTGCGTCTCTGTGTTGATGTAGTATGGCAACCTGAACTGATGTAGTTACGGTACGAAGTTCTGCGTTGTATCTGTCTGTCTGCTTCAATAATCGAATTCAGAATAATAGATAACCTGTAGAATCGATTATATGCGTTTCATCCTACTTGGAACACGTCTTCTGAACATATATAACCCAGAATATTGGTGTTCATGCGCGTTAGCGCTTGTAAAGAAAGGTACTACACTTAATTCTCATTGTAAACGTCAGCATTATAACACATGGACATCCAGCTAACAAGTCCTGAATAGAAAGAAAGCCGCTTCCTGAATCCAACTACTAATCATTGTGCAACTTTAATAATACCATTTAATTTTGATTAGTAAGCTTCTTTTTTGAGTGTTTGTTTACTTAATCAACACAGTCTGATAAAAATTCCTACTGTACTCAAAATAAGAATGATTATAATGAGAATTCTAAACCTAACATTTAAAAACTTTAATTTAATTTGTAATGGTCTGAATTATTCCGTTGTTGATATTTGAACTTAATTGTGAACAGTCTTGGCTGGTGAATGTGTATCTTGTGTGAATTCCTTTAATGTAGTCAATCATACTGACGCAAGATTACATGGTTTTAGATGGAATCTGGCTTACAATGGAATTCAGGACACATTTTTCGTTCCATTTGGGACTCGTCAGGGATAACTCAAACCATTACAAATCAGATTGAAATGCATACCCTTTCCACTAGTGTATATCGGGATTCAGTTGGTAAATGGATAACGCGTTAGCGTTCGAAGCGAATGGTCACTTGTTTTTAGTCTTGGAGTGAACCTCAACTCTGGAATCCAGTCACATCCAGCTAAAGAGTTGTAAATAGGATGACACACATCCTGACTTCTACTACTAGTCACATTCCAGCTATGCGAAAACCGTACAAAAAAAAAAAAATCCAAAACCTTTTTACACAAAATAAATATATCTGCTTAGAGTTTTTTCCTCCAATGAACTTGTGTATCGAATTCACTAAATATTTTAATTCTCTTCACTTATGTGAGAACTGTAGTTGAATACGGTTATTTGGAGCGGATGCGGTAGCTTGCTATTGGTATGGTTTATGAAGCAACATTACGTTTGCCTGGTGGGTTTTTCAGCGATACAACAGATATTCCAACAGGCATAATCAACTAAGCACAGCAATTAAAACGGGAAATGAAATCCATTAGATGAAGGCTGTTACGACTTTGTTATCTCCCCACTAGTCTGTACTTAACATTTATAGAGAGCTGTCTCAAACAAATTTGCATCCTTGAAGTGCTAGGTGGTTACTCAGTGCAATCTTGAGACTGCAACGCATGAGTTCGACTTTGTGACTGAACGGTGTCAAGGCAGACAGGAAAAGAACTATCCTATCACTAATTAATAATCTGATTGGTTGGTAAACAAAGAGAGAAGACGATCATAGCAAGAAACTAGATAGCTAACTGAAAAAGATACATGAATTAATACATGGATAACAGAGCTAGAACAGAACGACTGAAAATTACAGTCATATCAGACTAGGGCATTCGAGTTAAAAATGAGAATGCAAGGATTTCGTTCAAATTTTGGAATAAATGGTTAGATAACATGAATTCGAAGATTAGTCAACAGTTTATGTTAGATTTATAAAGCAGGTACATAACTATATGCTAGTAATTTACATATTATTAATTAGCCGAAACAAGATTACAAAAGCGAACATTCATTATCTGTTATATCGTCTAAATTCGATTGTTTACAATAAAGGCGTTCGTCTCTCATGTTTCAGTCCCGTTTTAGCTACTGTCATAGGCATTCCTTTCCAGTTCTACTCAATTGCTTTTCATTTTCTTTATATCTTTCTTCGATTCTGGGCGGTAATTTCCTTGGTCTACCTCTTTTCATTTGGCCTTGAAGGTTCCAATCTAGTCTTCCGTCAGATTAGCCAAACCCTTTGCTGGGAATTTCTCCACGATTGACTGCAGCCTCCCATAGAATCCATCATGATCGTCTTCTTTGTTATCGTTGGTGGGCGCATAGCACTGAATGACATTTGGTTGGGGTCCGCGAGATGATAATAATCGATGGTTAGAGACTTTGAATGACATGGCTCAAAATCGTTCGCAATGGCGCCAGTGCATTTATTCTTTGTGTTCTCTCAAATCCTAATCTTCTGCATTCTTCAACACCTCTAGTTTTTACTTTCTAAACTTATCTCATTTAATCATCCTTCATGAATAATATCTTCTAATCCTAACCTCTCCGATTACTTCTAATACCTTTACTACCTCTTCTACTATTGGATTTGAATTGACAATTATATCTCTGTGTAGATGTGGTATGGCGACATGAACTGATGTACTTACGTACGAAGTTCTACGTTGCATCTGACTGACTGACATCGTTATCCCCTCTTTCTTCATCTTGAAGGATCCTTTGATGATCGTGGGTCCATGAGATTTCGATCCTATAAGAGCTTTTCGGGCTGTCAGAAGCGGCTTCAGCCTCGTGACTTCCGGAGAAACTCGGCTTTTGCCATGAGGTGTCAGAGCTCTTCTGATGAAGAAGACCTTCCAACTCTCAGGGAAGAGTTTAAATGATTTCCTATAGTTAGTGATTCTCAACAAAATTCTTTTGTACGCAATAGAACGCTCAGCCTAATATAATGAGCCAATCAGAAGTGGCCAAATGAAAAAGCCATTTGATGACCGTTAGCAATGTCCTGGAGGACGAATGCCTATCTTAGATCAGGAAATGGGTTGATATTCGAAGTACATACATTTATTACTTACATATACCATTATTTGTTCATATTATTCGGTAACCAAATAGACTTTCAATTCGTCTTATCTTTTTACTCAAGTAACCAGATTTGAGGGGTTAGCTCGTATCGCGTTAAGATTTCTGGACCCGCACATCATAAAACAACCCTTCTTTATCTGATCTTGTGTCTGGGAGTAATCTTTGAATGACTCTATGTAGAACACGTTAATCCGCTTTAATACAATGATGAGAATCGTAGATCAGAATCTTTAACAAGAACAGCTGGTTGGAGTCAATTAACGGTTGTTCATATCCGAAATTTAACATAGGCTGTTGAGTTTTTTTTCCTATTTGTTCATAAAACTTTGGTCTTTACATGGTAATTGAAATTGAGTTACTAATTATTTCTTTTTTGATTTTTAATTAAGTTTGGTAATTCCGGTGGTCCATTGGTGAATTTATACGGTGAAGTTATTGGGGTTAACGCTATGGTGGCTGGCACAGGAGTGGGATTTGCTATACCCGTTGATCAAGTTCAAAGGTTCATAAAATTAGCACTGGAAGCATCTTCAAGTACTCGAAGCTCTTCCCCTATATCGTCAAGTTCACCTACTGATCCATATATTTTAACAGATAATTCAACTTGTCCCGAGAGCGAAACTCATCGTCGATACTTAGGTTTAGTTATGCGAACACTTACTCCGGAGCTGGCTTTTGAATTATCATTTCGTGGTGGACACCATTTTATGGAATTAAATGGTGTTTTGATTCAAGCTGTTTTAAGAAACTCTCCTGCACAAAGGTAAGTTCGTATTACTTTGCATAAATTGTAGAAAATCACTTAATAGCTTGAATTAAAAAGGAGATCATCTTACCTAAGAATGGGTATGCACCGACTATTATTATCATATTTAGTCACAAGTTAATAGCTTAGAACTGTCGTTACTGAGTGAGAATCACATAATAGTTAACACTGCTGTTTGGCTATAAATTTCTGATTATTCTGACATTTGATCTTTGAAATAATTTTTCAAACATTAATACCAAGAAGCCATGCTTTCTGTAAGTCTCTGTTGATAGTTAGTCCTCTACGAAGTTTCGCCACTGATCAACTCCTTCCATAAAAAAGAAACTTCATATTTCAATATGAGTTTTGTCTATCCTTCAATAAAATACAATGATCTTAAACAGTTTTTTTTTTTCTATTCTAATTTGACAAATACAATTTTAGTCAGTTATCCATGCTCAGTTGTAAACTCACAATAGATTTGTTTTAAAATATTAAAAGTTCTCATTGTCATCAAGCTTTACACTCTAATATATGCATAAATATTTACATGGAAATATCAAACTAATCAAGACAGTGTATGAGTTAACAATCATGATAAAATGGAGATTGTATAACACCATTGATAATAGATAAAACTACAAGTTGTTTGTACGACGAGAGGTGCACTAGTGCATAAAAAACGGAGATGTGGGTAAGCAACAAAGAATTGAATGGTGACGAAATAATACACACTGCATTTGTAAAATATGAAAACAACATACACTAACTGTACCATTTGCTCATCTTCCTTGAATTAACCTTCTTAATCTTCACCGTTTATTCGTTTTTATTGTTACTCTGACTACCCTGTGTTCTTGTTTCTCCTTTCACTTCTCTCTTCAGCCATTAAGAATTCTACCACCTATTCTCGTATATATGCTTGTATAAGTAGCGCACACTACACTAGTTAGTAGTAATAAGAATAGTAAACTAACAAAAGTTCTGGTCAATTGTTCAACATTTAAAGTGGTAGGCCAAACTTGCATAGACATAATTTAAAACAGTAATCATGAAAAGTTATTAGAATTACATGACGAGATGTGTAAATAGTTAGATAGATAGTGGAGGATATGAATGCGGGGAAGGCGAAAACTGACGAACAAATTCATGATGTGAAAAAATTATTAAAATCACCTATTAAGTCGTATCCAGTCAAGGAAGGAACAGGTATGTCACGAATTCCTTCTGAACACATAAACCGAATTTAGAGATTCAGATTCCTATAACTGCTGCTCTCAAATGTAAGAGACGAGATCGAACCCTACTAAGAAATGATTCAGTTTTGTCTCCAATATGATTACTGTCAATCAGGGTGTGCCCAGGTAGAGCTACTTATTGTCTTTATTCGGCCCTTTTCAAACCACGCTGGGAGATGTTCACTCATCTATCGGAGGAGAAAGCAAATTCGTGGATGCAAACTGAGAAGGTAAATTCAAGTAACTTATCCTTTGTTTAAGAAGACATTAGTTTCTCAACGAAAAAAAAAATTAATAATCACGAACTTCCATTTATCTTAAAAAACTTTGATTGGTATTATAAATCTAGAATGTGAAGCATAGTGAAAGCAAGGGAAAGATAAACAAAATCCTTGCAGTGTGATATGGTTTTCTGACAACAATTTACTTTTACTGATCAACTAACTTTGTTGTAAATTATATTTGGAATAATTGAAATTCAGCATAGATTTTTAATGCATTTGTTTTACAGAGCAGGATTAAGAGCCGGAGATGTGATTGTTGCTATTGACGGTCTACCTATAACGAATGCTCAACAAGTTTACACTGCTACTGAAAGCCGAGAACAATTGACAATCACTATTGTAAGACAAGGAAAACGTATAACTATCGATCATATTCAAACGGAAAAGATTTAAAACACTAAACTTTATCATTGTGTTGAATTGTTCTACACACAGTGTATAATTTTGTACTATATACCAGTATATATGATAAAACCATATGCAGTGCAATTATTTCTTCTTGCTGTTTTCGTATTCCTTGACAAAATATATACACTTGTTCCCACTTGTGAATAGGAAGAACAATAATTCAGATAATTTCGAAGTTAAATAACTTTTATATTTTTCAGTATTTCAAGACAGATTAATAAGAAAATATAAATATATATATATTTCGGATGATTGTGTGTTTGTCAGAACAGAACATTGATTTAATTAGAATAGAGAGAAAAAAAAGAATAAATCAAATAGATAGAAATGCTAAGAAAGAATCATTTTAAAAGTATATATTATGCTTTTTTTTCAGTTAATTGATTGCATTATCACATCAGTACAATGGAATGAGCTAGTTGTAGGACTAGTTTATTGACAACCACTAATGTACATCTATCATATTTAGTTCAACCTTGAATGAAACATAAGGAAAATAGTCCGTTGAAGCCCCGAAACTCCCAACATTCATATCTTCCTGTAATGAAACAACGGTAAAGGAAAAATAAAATCCAGGCAAAACGAAAAATTACCTATGTTATAAAAGTGACAGTAAATTTGTTCATTACTCTCAACAAACAGATAATTATTTGGAAAAAAGTAACATAGGTTAGAGTCCTTAAAACAGATCCTGTTTCGAAGTCATAACAGATTTTCTGCTGAAGATACTGATCAGTTTAGATTCAGTAAACATCATTAGGATTTGTCTTAAAATGCATTCCACTATCTAAAATATATTGTGCATTCCTGGAATATTTGCTTACCAGTGTATAAATCCCAAACTAAGTCGATCGATCACGTTTTCAAGAGCCCTCCTATGTGTGGCTATTTAGATTAAAATGACTTACTAGTCCTATTCTGAAACGTTTTACTTATCTTATTGAGGAAAGGTCATTTTACAACTGGAAACTTAATATGAGAATTCAGCTTCATATGTGCAATAAACACTTGTTTTGTTAGCAACCTTTATCCTGTTTAAAAGAAATTCGTTATGAATGACAGATAACAGGGACGGTGTTTTATATCCCTAACCGAAATATTACATCCATAAAGATCATCATATATAACTTCTGCTCCCACAATATTTAAAATCAGCTATATAAGTCAGGGTCTCTACGTCCCTGGAATAGTGCCTAAATACATGAGTAGATGCAAATACTTACGTCCAAGACGGAGCTTGAAGACGATCCATCCAGATGGTTGTAAAGTTGCTTTAAGATATCTCTCAATTTCTTCTGCTGCTTTTTGTTTGGTTCAATGAGTATTGCTTGAAAATCAACCGGTAATCCATATCTACAATGAGACGAAAACTTACTACATAAACAGTGTTTGGATACAACGGAATAGACTCAATACAACATGATTCCTACCTACTTATACATCTTAATTCAAAGCGATAGAAATATCTTACTTAAAAAATAATTTGGTTAGATAGACTTCAGATATATTGAGTAGTTGTACGACTATATTACGACCTTAGAAATAGATATCCCTACTCTGGATTGTCAGTCATTGGTAGTAATTAGGATTGCAGTTATTTAACTTTGGGAAACAAAATAGTGGTAAATGTTTTCGCCAAATTGTTAATGTGTCTTTGTGGGATATCTGGATGTAGAAAACCCTTATATGGCATTACGAACATACTACACCTGCCTCAAGAACATCGACGGAAAAATATCAAGTTGACAAGAATGGGGAGCCTTTATCAGACTAAATATACCTAATCACAATCATTTTGAGTACAACCTGTATAACTTAATACTGCTTACAGCCAATATAACGGTTTAGAGCTTGTATCAATTTCCTTCCTTCCTTCCCAAAAAGTCACCGTGGGAATACTTTACATCACTTACACTTCTAAATCAGACCAAAAAACTAACATGGTTCCATATACAACTTAAACCATTATAGGATTTTAGAAAAAAGGTCTGCAAATTAAAAGTGATTGGCAAGTTGACGAAAATATGAATTCTTACCTTAAAACTGACTCAACAAATACCCGAAGAGCTTTAATATGAACCATAGCAGAAAAAGCTTCACCAAAATTAACTTTCAACCAACGAAATAGTGGTGCCTAGTTCGAAACAAAAACAAATCATGCACTGAAATTAAGACAATTAGGAACAAAGTATAATAACTTATACAATGAAAGTGGACTTTAGCTAATATGCAGCAATGTATTAATCCAATCTCAAGAAACGGAGGGAACAATCTAACAAGTGGCTTTTATTATCCATATTAATAGTTTTTAATAAGCGTTATCACAGACCATTTACCGTTGGTGTGGTATGATGGATAAAAAAAAGGAGTAATTTGCTCTTTCATTCAGCTATGCTACATTCAGTTGTATTGCAACTATCTGCAACACGTTCCTCTATCACCTCGCAACGCTGATGCAAACGATTTGAATACACAAAACGTTTTTCTTGGTCTCCTGAAATCCTGCTCAAAACTACATGTTAGAGCTTTTAACATTGAGTCAAATAGGACAACAGGCTCCCTTAGCTAGGACTTTCAAATCTCACGAGATCAATCTACGTTGCTTCTCCAAAACGAGCACACAGGATCCAAGTAAAATCATTAATTTGACTTCACCCTATCCAGATAAGGAACTAATATGGTTTACGCTCCGAGTATCTGCAAGACCTGCTGCTGCTTCCTGTGGCCTCGTTGGTGTAGGTCTAGCATTGACTCGTACGGCAGAACTAGCTCTCTTAGACGGTATCACAGAAGATAGTCGTTTATGTGCTGTCCAACTAAACGTAACAGTATGAACTACTAAAGATAGGGACAATCTCCTTGCCTCTGTGTTGTAGCCATATAGTAAATGATGCCCATTTCGAGGAAGCTTATAATGATATAAAAGCTGTGGAAACAGCAGTGGTAACTGTTAGTAAAGTAAACCATAAGGTAAGGGAGAACAGCAGATCTTGCCAGCATCTGCCAAACTGATAAATGCCCAGAAACTCATCCGGTCTGGCTATGAACATGATGAAGAGCAGAGTCAGCTTAAGCTTAGGAAATCTGGAGCAGGGGAGAGCAGCGGGCCCTGGTGGGTTGACCCCTGAGATTTTTAGGGATGGTGGTACAATTTTAGCAGCTAGATTGACTGAGAACTTAGGTAGGATCTGGGAACTGAGCGTTATCCCATTTGACTGGTCTTAATCACTAATTGTCCCAATCTATAAGAAAGGACAAAGGTCCTCTTATGACGATCACAGAGGAATCAGTCTAACTAACAGTGTCTAAAATTTTAGCCTCGATAATACTTCGACGCTTAATCAGAGCTCGTGATGAGTAGACTAAAGAAAACCAGGCTAATTTCAGACCTGGATGTGGATTTATGGACTACATATTCACAATTCGTTGGGTACTAGAACATAAACACAAACTCAAACGTCCGATAAGGGTTTTATTCCTTGACTTTACGGAGGCATTCGACTTTGTCGATAGAGAAGTTTTATGGCAGTGTCTATCATTGAAAGGGTTACCGAAGTACTTTAACCTTGAACAGGCTCTCAACTCGAACATTACTGATAGAGTCAGAGTTGATGGCGAATTTTCAGGGAAAGACGCTGACAAAATGCAGTCTTTTGACCATCTTAAGCAACAATCCAAGCATGTTCGGGATGTCATTCTCCCATTCAAATGCGAAATGTCGCTTTACGATAGGCACCTGAACTAATGATAGGAAGTGACGTAGATGAGTGTGCTGACCGCCTCACTCATCTTCGGAGTCTCGTCAGTGCTGATAGCCTGGCGTCTGACCGAATCTCAGCACGAATACAGCAGGCTCAACTGGCTTTCGCCAACTTATGACGCTCATAGCCTATAAGAATAGAGGATATCCGTAGATTACTGGTTTTCGATCATAGGTCTCTTCGAAGAATTACTCGTATATCTTAAGTCTGTGGATAAGTCAATGCTGCTGTTAAAAAACGAGTACTAGGTATGGATGGAAGATCAATATGTGAAGTAGTGAAACTCCATCATTTGAGGTGGTTGGGACATATATTACGTTTCCAACCACCGACTGCCTTGACGATCAATGTTTTGAGGTTTAGCAGTAGACTGTAAGAAAGCTACGGGTGGCCAGACCAAAACATGAAACAAATCCATGAAGTCGTTGGGCCATGTTAGTAAGTGTAGATAACCTGGTCGGGGTCCGCGAGACAATAGTAACCGATGGTTAAAGAACTTGAATGACAAGGCTCGAAATCGTTTGCAATACCGCAGCCGCATACATTCTGTGTCTTCTCTTATGAGCTCAGAAGCTTTCCTTATCTCTTTTTGTATTTATCTCACTGGAAAATACTTCTTAAAAAACTTTTTCGAACCCTTATCTCGATTACTGCTAATACTCTTAGTAGCTCTACCACTATGGGAGTTGAAGTGACAATTGCATCTCTGTACTAATGTAGTATGGCGACTTGAACTGATGTAGGAACTTATGAAGTCCTACGTTGTAGCTGACTAACTGACTTTTAGAACGGAGTCATTTTCTAACTTCTGGAAGCAAATAATAAAACGGTGAAAACTTTTGTAAAATAGTATAACAAATACAATTAGCCGACTTACAAACTGTCGTTTCTTATCTGACTCAAGTTTCGAAAGTTCATTTCTACTTTCCTCAATTTTCTTTTCATCATAAATAAAATCACGTACAACAAATCTAATAAATGATTTTCGAACACTTAAACAAACCTAAATTCACGAGCCTGAGTTTTAAAATCATCCATCATCTTCTTGAAAAGTGTCACAGTCCACAGTCCATTATCTTGATCTTCAAAAATAAGTCTTAATCGGTTAAACCAAAAGTATGAAAGTTACTCAGACGACTTAGGGACAACCATGTCCGTCATTCTTTCATAATTGGACTTCCAATCATTATACATATTCCTAGGAATTATTTCACAAAGACAACTTACTTTGGAACAACAACAACCAGTGTAGCTAAGTATTCCGAATCAACAATAAAGTGTTCTCGCTTCACAATATCTCCAAGCTCGCGTGTTAAAAGACTACCCCTAAATCACCTATAAGGTACAGTCAAATATACCACTTACGTCTGCTTTCGTTCTAGATTTTGGAGGCAACCTTTCAAGGTATTATATGCCTGAGATTTTACTTTCAAATCAGAGTCAATTTTAGACAGTTGCTGAAACAGAGGGGTACTTGAAGTAAAATTAAAAATACCTCTGAGATAATTGCATAGAGAGAACTCAAGGTCTGTTTGACTGGATATTTAGCATAATCCCACTGAAATCTAGAAAGAAATGCGGCAGGAGATACTAAGAATATAAAAATAAGAATTCGAACATACGTCCATTTACCGTTAAGTTGTCCTCCAACTTGCTTTTCTGTTCTTCAAGAACATCACCCATATATTGAGCGACCTTTTTAGTGATGCTGTAGCGACTATTTCAGACTACTAGATAGTTACCTTTCGGCATACACATCTAACTTTGAAAGTTCATCAGAAAGACCCACCAGAATATCTAGCGTACCCACCTAAAACACAATTTTTCAGAAATCCGAACGAATACTTTGAAATCCGGAGGGATATTGAACTTATTAACCTGAGAGTAGATATCTTTATATTTAGACAATGTAGTCTGGAAACGCTGATACACCTGGTTCGGGTCTCGTTCCCCAGGAACAGATATTATCCAAAACTCCGTCATCAAACCGAACTCAAACCACCCTCTGCTGTTACTTTAAATGTTCAAAATCTTTTTCATGAGCTAGCATAAAACAATTGGTTTCTTTGCTCTAGTTTCTTGTTCCTGTACGGTTCCAGGTATTTGATGATGTCCAATGGATAAGAGTCCAGCTAGTCAGTTGGCAGCAGTTTGTGAGTTTGTATTTCCTGTCATTTAAACGAATACGATTGTTTCAGGAAAGAAGGGTTTCTGGATACCAGCAACTATCACTTTACCAGTCCGGAGATCACTTCGTTTCAGTGTGGAGAATTATAGGAATAAAATTATAATGCGAATAATAGTAAGACTTCATGATTAAGTGAATAAGTGAATAATTTATTTTATTAATTGTTAGTAAAGATTGTGTGAGAAGACGGAAGTGCTAGCGAGGGAGAGTAAACAGAGGAAATAGGCGAGATCGATTAAGTTATAGATCAGAGAAAATGGCCGTAATAACAACCAGAAAATCTCAAGACATGTATCAGACACGACTGGTTCATGACGAAGTTAATAAACAATGTTCGAGTACGTATTTATCAAGTCTCTTCTTAAAGCTGTCCTTTGAGACTGTTGTGGGCACCTCGACTGTGAGTCCATTCCAAGTCTTAACTGCTCCTAATGAAAAAAGTGTGAACAAACCTGAGTGTTTACTCTTTGAGGCGCAATTTTTCGAGGGTTACCTGGAAGGGAGTAGTTGTAACGCTTTGGTAAGGTACATTTGGATGGTTCGGCGTGCTTGATATGTTGTACGCCATTATCAGATCACTCCGAATCTTCTGTATATCAGAGAGAATAACTCCGATCTCTGGGGTCTTTCCTTGTATCCATATAGTTGCATATGGACTTTCAGATTACTGCTGATCCATGAACAAGAAAGAACTCACAATGATACGATGATTTGCATGCTTTTCAGTTGACATATCTGCTAGAAATCAAAACTTTAGGTGCTGTAATAGACGAGAAGTTAATAGTGTGAACTTGAATCTTAAGAGAGCTCCAAATGTTACAGACAGCACCTCAATGGCGTGGTTTACTACTGTTAGTAGAAGTAGGACAATGTGTCCATAACTTCGTGATACCTGAATGAATGATTAAAGAGGTGCAGTATATTCATGGTATGTTATTAGTTTCTAAAGTTAATCATGTGGACCATAAAAGAGTGTCTCAGGATTCGCTTTGAGTTCCAGGAACAGTCGATGAACCTCTCTAGAGTCTAATAACAGCTTTTCTAGTTTCTTGAACCTCGCTATTGCGTCATAGATACAACTAATAGCTGGTTATCTGTTTCGCAATAAAGCATCGTAATACGAAGAAATTACAACGCAACGACTTTTTGTATTTTGCCGTTTGTAGTAGAAATGCGTTGATTCGTCGTGGTTCATAATTGGGCCGGATTTTACAAACAAGAGACCATACATTATTTTATAAAGATGTATTGGGTTAATTTTAAACCGTTGGCACTAATGAAGTTCTAGGAAAGTCGAGAGTATGGTTCTGACCCAGCCGTCAATGTGTGAGTCTTCTCTGGACACTTTCGACTCGTATTTTGTCTATGATATTCCTGTTTGAAAAGATAAGCGGACATCATTCAAGGGAGGGCCCTTGAAGAGTGTATACTGTGCCACATTTGTCAAGACTTCTTATTTATAAACCCCATAAGCCATCTTGATCTAGAGACAATAGAAGAGGCATGTTCTTCAAATGTTAGGCTTCTGGAGTAACGAACACACAGTTCATGCGCTTAAATGTGCGTCTGAACCGTACTTTTTTGTAAGTAGAATGATGTTTCATGATGGTGCTTACTAATGTGCGTGATGCCACATTCATTGTTCTTAAATGGTAGCTGCCATGTTTCGCTCCAGAAAGGTACGTTGTCAAGGTCACCACATCCTCAGGCTTTTAGCTGTATGCTATTTTGAGATCATCTGTATATAAGTAAGATATTCCTAATTTTATGGTTTTAAATACAATGTTTATGTGCACCAGAAACAAGAAAGGATCTAAGTAACCTCCCCGGATAACTCTACTGGTTATTGGTCTTGGTGAGGAAAGGCAATCGTTGTTTTTTACAATGTGTCGGCGTCCATTTGGAAATGAAGCAATCCATGAATATAACGGACTGCTGTTTGCCAATGACTTTAGTTTGAGGAAAAGCGTTTTGTATGGGACCTTATCAAAGCTTTCTTGAAGTCAAAGAATAGGTGTGATTCTAGAAGCTCTTCATCTTGTGTTGTATTACCGCCTCCTTACTACCTTCTCTATCACTCTAGGTACTACTGAGGTATTGTTTATCGGTCGGTAATTTTCAGCATTCGCTATAGGCTGAGACTTAACTGTTGGGATGATTTGTCTCATCATAAAGTTCAGATAGCTGTGAGTACCTGCTTTTCGAACGATCCTTTTGAAAGTATATACTGCTCGCTAAGATTTAGGGTCAAAGTATTAAAGTTTTCGGCTTGCAGTGTTCTGTCAAACCCAAGCTGTGTTAGGTGCAACATCCCCATCATTCAAGCATTTTGTGCCATTCGCATTGGAAGGCATCGACATGTCGAGTAGTTGAGTGCAGTGGGGTTTTACGGGTTTGAAATTTCAATCAATGCATATGCTGTTATGCCTTCATCAACTACACTGGCCGGGATAGCCAAGTTCCAGTCAGGATTATGATCATCAGATCCATCTTGGAGCATGTTTCTGATTTCCATCTATTTACCCCTTAATCCTCTTATCTTGCCACAGAGGCTCTTGATGGTTTGTCTCAAAAACTGACATGTCTCTGCAGCACCACCCGTTTTCGTAAATCACTTCTGTCTTCTAACATCTCACTAAGCAGTCAATATAAATCGATTTATTTATTCGCTCCGGGTCGCTATCATAATTCGCATCACCGAAGCTAACCAGGTAGTTTTTAATGAATTTAACAAATTTAAATTATGAAGGATATGTAGCGCATCGGTTTGAAATCCGCGAACAGAGTATATAGGTGGTTCCAAAGTGAAAACTAATGCAGAATAGTTTTTTGACTATTAATGAGTCAGTTTGAACAAAATAATGCCCCACAAAGTTGACTGAAGGGATTTCATAATTCCCAGTGATATATACATGAGATCACAACATACTGCAACCATATGTACGGTGAGTAAAGCAACACTTAACTTTACCCAAACTGTAAAGCAAATCGAACGTAGATCCACATCGAAATACTGATTGATGGACGTCAAATGGTTTATTATAATTCGGGATGAATAGTGGGTAACTCGGACCAAAAACATGACTCGACATGTAAATGTAGGACGAATCGTTAGTTTAATGCGGCCCCAACCAGTTCTGTTTAACCAACCACGATAACGACTTTATGTCTTCTGTAAGAGTGAAAATAAGTATCATACACTGATCACCAGTCTAGAGTGGATTATCCTAGGAAATCTCAGAGTTTCATGACTTCTTTCCAAAGTTACATCAGTTAAGGAGTCGTGCTATTCCGGTTCAACTCTAGAAGATGAAAACCATCAGTAGGATTTGATTTGTCCTACAAATGTAATTCTAGAACGGTAAACACAATATTGGCGAGCACAGAGTCTATGGGAAAGCTACAGTTACAAGAAGATCAACTTTTGCTTTAAACTTTATCTGTTTCTAAACATAAAAACAATTACATTAATACAATAAATAAGGAAATTACAATTATCAAGTAAGACGAGCAAACGTATCGACCAATAAAGCGTGTCTTATGGAAATGAGTACAGTTGTGAGTGACATTAATATAATAAGATAATAATGTCAATCAATTTGTAGGTCATTTACAACAAAGAAGGTTTACAGACACGTCAGGTCAGATCACGTGATGGGCGCTTAAACCACAATCTGACTGGTTAGTTATGGCATAACTACAATTAGTTATAAAATAACTAACACCATCAGGTAAAGGCGATAAGTATTTTCAACAGACCAATGATGACCCAACATCAATAGAAACATTCGACAGTTGGCTACTGGTAATGGAGCAGCATGTATGTAATTACATGAACTACAGCTTCGACTGTGATTTGGTATGACCCATGAAATTAAGGGTCTGATGTTTCGTCATTAAAAATCCCTCGGTTCTGTCTTCCATGTTTATTTTGTATGGCATGGTTTATAATAAAGTTAAAATCCACCGAACTAAGCTTCTGATATTATATCTAAAACAAAGGAACTGTCTTTGTTTCCATTACGGTGTTAATGCCGACTGTTTGGATAACAAACGTACAAGTTTCTCACTTTTTATCGTAGCTGTAATGCATCTTCCGTACTGTACTTATCCATCTAGCAGCTCTATTCTCTGTCCGAGTGATAAATTTTAATCTGTGAGACCGTGAATTATGGACGACCTTTAAGCGACAGCGGAGTAACTTTGAGAAAGTCCACCCCACTGTGGTTTAAAAAAGGGAAATGATTTAGTATGTGGCATTAGAATTGAGATTAACAGTCGTATGTAATTGTTATCACCGTGAACTAGCATCAACTACGACTTTGAATTCCTATTTACCCGTATACGTGAATTTCGCGTCCGACTGTACAAATACGGAACCATTTGCGCAGCATTCCTGTCTCGTTTGATCGTATGGATGATTTGAAAAAGACAAGACTAATGCCTTCATGTGTGTTGTGTCTACAACGTCCAACTGCGACGGATGACGCAGTTCTGAAGAATTCATCTTTAGTGGTGACCGAGTCGAGGTTGACTATGATCACCGGTAAATACTCGTTACTATCTCGTCACTAAATAAATCCAGGGTTGAGAATTTGTTTGAAGGAGAAAGTAGGCGATACATCGAACAGCAACTTATGAAAGATGGCAGCAACGCGAAAAGGAAACTTGCGAGCAAGTGTTTTTGGCACAGTTAAACAAAACGAGCATAATAATAAATGTTTATTTTTCACCAGTCTCATTTCCTTCGTAGAAGTGTTCCACTACACATCTCTAGTAGTATTGCCAATGCTATCAGTAAAAAAGAAACCTGAATACTGTCAACTTAGGGAAATCAGCCATAATGTTACTAAAGTGCATCATTACGTGTTGAATGAAATTTCCTCAACTAAATTTACTCCCGATAAACAATCATCCAGCTATTAAAGGATTCAACCTTTTCAGTGATTTGCTGGGGCTCAGTGACATTATATTAACCTTACAGATTTAAACG